GAAGGTAGACCCCTTCCTGACACCTTACACTAAAATTAACTCCAGATGGATTAAAGACTTAAGCATAAGATCTAACACCATAAAAACCCTAGAAGAAAAGCTAGGCAAAACCATTCAGGACATAGGCATAGGCAAGGGCTTCATGACTAAAACACCAAAAGCATTGGCAACAAAAGCCAAAATAGACAAATGGGATCTAATTAAACTCCAGTGCTTTTGTAGAGTAAAAGAAACAATCATTAGATTGAACCAGCAACCAACAGAATGGGAAAAAATTTTTGCAACCTACCCATCTGACAAAGGGCTAATATCCAGAATATATAAAGAACTAAAACAGATTTACAAGAAAAGAAAAACATTTAAAAGTGGATGAAGGATACGAACAGACACTTTTCAAAAGAAGACATCTTTGAGGCCAAGAAACATATGAAAAAATGCTCATCATCACTGATCATTAGAGAAATGCAAATCAAAACCACATTAAGATATCGTCTCATGCCAATTAGAATGGTGATGATTAAAAAATCTGGAGACAACAGATGCTGGAGAGGATGTGGAGAAATAGGAACACTTTTACACTATTGGTGGGTGTGTGAATTAGTTCAACCATTGTGGAAGACAGTGTAGTGATTCCTTAAGGACTTAGAAATAGAAATTCCATTTGACCCAGCAATCCCATTACTGGATATATATGTAAAGGATAATAAGTCATTCCATTATAAGGACACATGCACACGTATGTTCATAGCGGCGCTGTTTACAATAGCAAAGACCTGGAACCAACCCAAATGCCCATCGGTGATAGACTAGACAAGGAAAATGTGGCACATATACACCATGGAATACTATGCAGCCATAAAAAACAATTAGTTTGTGTCCTTTGTAGAGAAATGGATGAATCTGGAAACCATCATTCTCAGCAAACTGACACAACAGAAAATCAAACACTGCATGTTCTCACTCAGGCGGGTGTTGAACAATGAGAACATGTGGACACAGAGAGGGGAGCATCACACACTGGGGTCTGTTGGGGGGGAGGGGAGGGACATTGAGGGGTAGGGAGGTTGGGAAGGGATAGCATGGGAAGAAATGCCAGATATAGGTGATGGGGGACGGAGGCAGCAAACCACATTGCTATGTACGTACCTATGCAATAATCCTGCATGTTCTGCTCATGTACTCCAGAACCTAAAGTGCAATTATATACAGATATCTCTATCTATCTATCTATCTATCTATCTATCTATCTATCTATCTATCTATCTATCAAGACAGTTTTTAGTTTCAGTGATTCTGTTCTTCCTTTTAGTGTTTTGTATATATCTGCATTAATATTTATTTCCTTTCTTCTGTTAACTGTGAGCTTAGTTGTTTTGCTGGTTTCTTTTTTGTAAAGTTAGGTTGTTTAATTGAAAATTTTGTTTATTGATTTCAATAGTTTTTGAGTAACAGATGGTTTTTGGTTACATTGGTAAGTTCTTCATTGGTGGTTTACGAGGTTTTGGTGTACCCATCATCCAAGCAGCGTATACTGTACCCAGTGTGTAGTTTTTTTTATTCCTCATCCCACTTTCCTTGAATCTCCAAAGTCCCTTCATCATTCTTATGCTGTTCAATCTTCATAGCTTAGCTCCCGCTTGTGAGAATATACGATGTATGGTTTTCCATTCCTGAGTTACTTCACTTCGAATGATGGTTTCCAACTCCATTCAGGTTGCAGCAAATATCATTATTTTGTTCATTTTTATTGCTGAATAGTATTCCATGATAAGTATATACCACATTTTCTTTACCAACTCATGGGTCAACGGGCATTTAAGCTGATTCCATATTTTTGCACTTGTGAATTGTGCTGCTATAAACATGCCTGTGAAAATGTCTTTTTTTATGTAATATCTTTTTTCCCTCTGGGTAGAGGAAAAAAAGTCATTATATTAGAAAAGTCTTTTCTTTCCACTCAGTAGTAGGATTGCTGGATCAAATGGTAATTCTACTTTTAGTTCTTTAAGAAACTTCCATGCTGTTTTTCCACAGTGGTTGTATTAGTATCCATTACCACCAGCATGTAAAAGTGTTCCCTTTCTACCACATTGATGCCAACATGTATTATTTCTTGATTTTTAAATTACAACCATTCTTGCAGGAGTAAGGTGATATTGCATTGTGGTTTTGATTTCTCTATTAGTGATGTCCAACATTTTTTATGTTTGTTGGCCATTTTTATATCTTCTTTTGAGAACTGATTTCTAATGCCCTTTGCACACTTTTTGAAGGGATTATTTGTTTTTGTTTTTGTCTTGCTGACTTGTTCGCAATCCTTGTAGATTCTGGCTGTCAGGCCTTTATGGTATGCATAGTTGTGAATATTTTCTCCCTTTCTATAGATTGGCTGTTTACTCTGCTGATTATTTCTTTTGCTGCCCAGAAGCTTTTTAGTTTAATTAGGTCCCATCTACTTATCTTTGCTTTTGTTGCATTTGCTTTTGGGTTCTTGGTCATGAACTCTTTGTCTAATCCAATATCTAGAAGAGGTTTTCTGATGTTATCTTCTAGAATTTTCATGGTTTCAGGTCTTAGATTTAAGTCTTTGATCCAACTCGAGTTGATTTTTGCAAAATTTTCTTCATTTTTAATGTAGGCATTTATTTCAATAAACTTTTCTCTTAATATTTTTGCTGCATCCCATAAGTTCGATGTTTTATTTTTATATTCTTTGGGGTAGTTTTCTCTAATTTCCATTTCGATTTCTTCTTTGACCCAATAACTGTTCAAGGATGTATTGTTTGATTTCTACTTATTTGAGGATTTTTCAGTTTTCCTTTTGGGGTAACTACTTCTAATTTTATTCCATCATAGCCATAAAAATATGATTTCAACCTTCTTAAATTTGTTAAGACTTGTTTTGTGGCATGCGATCTTTCATGGAGAAGGATCCATGTGCAGTTGAGACACATATGTTTTCTGCTGCTGTTGGGTGGAATGCTCTGTATCATATGTTCTGACCACTTAGTGTATAGTGTTGTTAAAATCTTCTTTTTCCTTGCTGATCTCCTGTCTGGATGCTCTATTATTGAAAGTAGAGTATTGAAGTCTTTTACTATTATTGCATCACTCTCTACTTCTCTTTTCATATCTGTCAATGTTTCCTTTATCTAATAGATCCTCTGATGTTGGGTACATATATATTGTTTTGTCCTCCTAGTGCATTTACTCTTTTATCATTATAAAATATCCTTCTGTCTATATCCTGCAACAGTCATTTAAACTAAATTTTGTTTTATATATATCTAGCCACTCCTGCTTTCTTTTGGTTAGAATTTGCATAAAATAGATTTTTTTGTTATCTTTTCACTTTTAGCCTTTGTGCATCCTTAAATCTAAAATGGGTTTGTTATATAAAACACATAATTTAGTCTTGCTTTTTTAAAAAAAAAAAATCATGCTATGTCTGTTCATTGAGGAATTTAATCCATTTACATTTAAAGCATTTACTGATAGGAAACTATTTATTATTGCCATTTAGTTAGGTTTCGTTCAGTTAGTCTTGCAGTTGTTCTGGCATTATTCTCTTTCTGATGCCTATCAGTGTTTGTTGACTTTTTTTTTTTGTAATGATATACTTTGATTTCTTTCTTTTCTCTTTTGTGTAAGTTCTGTATGTACTTTTTATTTGTGGTTCTTTAAGTTTACATAAAATATCTTGTAACCATTTATTTTAAGCTGATAACAACTTCAGCTTAATTGCATCCAAAACTCTGCAGTTCAACTTTTCCAGCACACATTTTGTTTATAACAATCTGTATTTATTCATATTTCTTTTAACATATTTTAGTTCTATTTTTAATACTTTTTTAAATTTATACAAAAATTGAGAGTGATTTACCTACCACCACTATCATAATATGGTACTTCTTTGTGTATTTCTATATATTTAATTTTGCCAATTAATTTCATACTGGCTATGCCATCATCTTGTTATTTTCATGTTAACTTAAAGAACTTCCATTAGCATTGCTTGTAAGGCAAGTCTAGTGGTGATAAACTCCCTCAGCTTTTGTTTGCCAGGAAAAGTCTTTGTATCTCTCTCTTTTTTTATTTTATCTGAATGACAGTTTGTTCATCTACACACTGTTTTTGGTCGACAGGGTTTTTCTTTTTCTTTTTTCTTTTAACATTTTAAAATTCTGTCTTTGACTTTTGACCATTTGATTTAATGTGTTTTACTGTACATTTTTTAGTTCCTCTTATTTGGTGTCCTTTGGGCTATTTGGATCTGAATTCCATTTTCTTCCCTAATTTGTGTAGTTTTCAGCCATTATTAAAAGTTTTTTTTATCCTTTATCTTCTCCTTTGGGATTCACCTAATGCATATATTTGTCCAGTTGGTGCACTATAATTTTCTTAGGCTTGCTTTACTCTTTTGTATTCTTTTTACTTTTTCTCTTCTAACTGAATTATTTCCAGCGACTTGCCCTATAAGATTTATCTTATTCCTTTGTTTGGAACATCTTTGACTGATTCTTTATTTTCCTTGACTCTCTGTGTTAGTGTCTGAGCGCTAGACAAAACAGGCATCTCACTGAGTCTTCACAGACCTGTACAGAGAAGAGCCTCCTCAATTAGCTCAGCCAGAGATTTTAGGAGCCTCTACCTATTCTTTTTCGAACCATGGAAAAGCAGACAGCTGTAGATTTTTCCTGCTTGCTCTGTTCTCTGGCAAGGGCAAGAAGAACCCATGGTTTCTATCAGCCCATGCTGCCATTCTTCTCTGTGTGGCTAGAATATGTCAGACCTGTAAGAGCTCCAAAACTGGCAAGACAGGTGCTAGTTCTTTGGGTAGTCCTGGAGAAGGTGGGGTATTAGTCACACAAATTAAGTCTTACTCTTTCTAGGGGAGAGCCGAGAGCTGGGATTTTCATCTGTTCTCTTCGTGCTAAGAAGCAGGGAGGATCAATGGCATTTACCAGCTCAATCTGCTGCTTCTGTTCTCTTTCACATAGCTGGACAGCGCTGGACCCATCAGAGTTTCAATACTGGCAAGAGAAAAAGGCCAGTCCTCTGGGGAGCCCTCTTGGAAAAGATGAAGCACTGGACATTATAAACTAACTACTTTCAACACCTGGATGAATCTAGGAGGTAGGGTATCTCTTCTTGATTATATGGTGCTGCACTGGGGCAGGGTATCTGATAGGTGGACTGTTTTGAATCTCCTTTGGCTTGAGTGAGTGGTTTCACATTTGACCAAGTCGCAGGAGCCTTTTAATTAATTTCCTCTTTCTCAGAAAGGGAAGTTTTCCATATATTGTTGGTGAATTCAGTTTTTTTGTGGGGTGGAAGGTCCAGAGCTTCCTACTCCATCATCTTGTTCACATGTCTTTCCAAAAGATGATGTCTCCGTGTTCAAATAAGTATTAAGTCATAACTTCTGTCATATCACTAAACTCAAACAGTGTAATTGAGGTTTGTGTACAAAATGTTGTGGAGTTGAGCCTTTTGTAAAGTTTTAAAATTTGAAATAATAGTAATACATTTATACACAGATGAAAGAAATCAAAGGAAGTAACACAAGTACCTATAATGAAAAACCACAGTCCTCTGTCCTCATGGAATCTCAGTCTTGCTGTCCAGGAGGACTGCATTTAATTCTTAGTTTTGGGTTTATATCCATGTCTGGGATTTTATTTTACTTTTTCTTTCACAGATCACTTACATTTTCAGTTCTTCCTTCCTATATATGTTTATTATTATTTCTAGTTCCATGGATGTTTTGTATTGTAACTTAACATGGTATACATATATATTTATTTATTGCTTTACTTCTTCAATCTCCACTTAGTCAGGGAATGTGTTTAATCATTGATTTTTTTTCAACCCTCCTCCTTCTTCCCACCTCTTGTCTTTTTGCCATCAGTGTACCATATTTGTTGACTTTTAAAATTATACAAGTAATACATGACCTCTATTATTTATATTTTCTTAGAAAATATAAAACTTTGCTTTGGGTGTTTTAATTTTTTTCTGTGGTTTTGTAACATTTTATGTTACTCTGTAACTTACTTTTTACACTGAATAGTATGTTTTAGGTAACTAAATCACTAAATATGGAACTATTACAAATTTTTTTTCCTGCTCTAGTAAATATGGCATGCTTATATGGTGGTGTTTCCCAGTTGGCAAATATTTATGTCACTTTCATTTTTTTTAATGCTATAAAAATGCTCCAATTAACACTAGCATACAGAGTCTTTGGCATTTGTGTACATGTGTTTCACAGATATGAAAAATGGAATAGCTGAGGGATGGATTTAAGTAAGGATAAGCATGTTTTAAGGTGTTAAGAAATTTTTGTTCCTACTTCTCCACATCCTCTCCAGCATCTGCTGTCTCCAGATTTTTTAATGTTCGCCATTCTTACCGGCGTGAGATGGTATCTCAATGTAGTTTTGATTT